CTCTTGGACCCAGGTGCTTTGGTGTTTTTTCCTTCTCGCGCTGGTACGCGGAAATTCGAGACCGGTCACGGTTAAAGAAGCCTTGCGGATTTGATTGACTCGTTCTCTTGAGCCCGAGCTGCGCGGGCAGTTCTGAGAGCATTCGCCGCACCTGTCGCTCGAGTCGGATCTGAAATGAGCCACACACAGGAGCCGCACTTCCCCCCGAAACATACCCCATCATATATGGTGAACGTTTTATGCGCAGTACAACCCAAAACGGCAAATGTGTGGTACCATGATGGAAACCAGCCGCTGAGAATCTGGGACTGAACTGCAGTCACTGACATCTCAACATTCAAAAGGCTGTCCCTCACTGTGCCGATAGAGGCACCACAACTCATCGCCGCCCATGGCCCTTTCAATACCCTTCCAGGAATCGATTGTTCGCGGACGGCATATCAAGACGACTGTAGTCTTCCGCATTCCTCTTGTCAGCTTCCGTGGTTGAAAGAGGCGGACACTTCTCAAAACGCGTGCAACTCAGCTTGACTAAAGCTCCGGGACTCGCAGCCTCCTTCGAATGCTGCGACATCAGGGGCCCTCGTCGCTCACTTGTTGTGGACTTGGGCTTCCTGAGGACCCCCCCAAACCGACTCCACCTTATTTAGCCTTATTTGGCCTTCAGAACGATGATTGGCCCGTATAGGGAACTATCTGAGGCACGGTCAAGCTTACTTTCCCCCCAATGGGGCGTTGAGTGAGCCCCCTCCTTTGTGCGAAATATAGAGCTCGTCCTCCCAAGTTCATCCCAAATGAGTCATAATCAAATAATCAAAACCCGGTATTAAAATGGCCCACCCAAAACCATGCAAAGAATTAAGGCCGAAGCTTCTGGTTGGAGTGTCCCTGAACCTTCATCTACCCGTGGGACCGTAGACTACTGGTAGCTTGGACCCAGCGGGCGCCAGGCGCCGCTAGGTGCCCTCTCGGATCCGGGCCCTGGCTCCAGCGTAGCGGCGCCTCCAGCTGCACCTGCCGCAGCTCCTGCGAGAAGAAGACAAAAATCGCCCCCGGCGTCAAGGAAGGCGTCCATTAGGTGAAGCCCCACGGAAAAACGTAAAAATATGTCCAGTGACAGATTCCCCTTAAAACCAACAAGGGAAAAGAACACCTATTCTCAATCAAATGGAGAAGGCGCCCCTCATTCTTTGGGCGTGAATTTGAGAAAGGGACCCTCTGGTGGGCGTCATCTAGGTGTCCAGCCAGTATTCAAGGGATTCACTATGGAAATTGATAGCCATGTTCAGGTTGTAAATACAATCTTTTTAGTCAGGGGTTGGCATACTGGGTAGTTGGAGTACCAGCAAACGGATGTCTATTAAAACAGCAGCTTTAGAAATACGGTATGTTGACTTCAGTTCATGCGGACACGACGAGGCGGTTCAGGTCAAGGTGGTCAAGGAGTAGTTGCTTCGAAGACGCAGGGCCGCACCGAAGTTGTATTTGGTTCCATGGATACCACGCTCCGGACAAAGATCTGCGAGCGTTCGACGTGTGTGAGTCCTGAGTCTGCAAAACTAACCCCTTCTTCTCAAACATAAGTTGTAAGCGCACTAACCCCTTTTCCCCCACTCACAACCAAGCTTACAACCTATCTTGCTAAGCAGTTTGAACACCCAAGTCGCTGCAACGTTCTGAACACACCACCCTGGCTAAACAACCCGTTGCTGAGTCACAAGCAAAACCCGGTATTGAAATGGTCAATCCCCAGAACCATGCTTCAAGAATTGAGAAGGCGGATATCCGCAACTATTTCTGGCTGGGACCGCCCACTCGCCTGCATCTACCCGGGGTTAGCACGTGGCTCAGCTGAACCCCCGAGCCGCGGCGTCCTTCAGCGCCGGCAGGGTCCGCAGCAGAAAGCCCTGGCCGCTGCCCTCGTAGCCGTCCAAAGTGGTGGCCAGCACCACGCGCCGGGCCTAAGGCGGAAAGCCGGGGTTCCACGGGTTTAGCTGGGTCTGATGTCTCCCCTTTTCCTTGATAAGTCTGAGGGCCACATGTTGAGAATATGCCATCTGTCTAGCTGGCGTGGTTAAACGTTTGAGTCATTTGAGGGGGCTCCTTGAAGTGGGGTTGAGCCTCTTTCAAGTGGTTTGCGTTTGAAAGACGGGGCAACAGGGGGGTTCAAGCAGAGGGCCCCAACCCCCCCGGGCAGTGGCCAGGCGGTTCTTAAGGAAACCAAACGACGGTTCCCTGACCTGATCTTGATGATTGATTGGCTGTGGATGAATTTTAGGCCCGACATGAATTCCCATGAGGTCATACTGGAATACATGGTGTACTATCCAGCCTGTGATGGTGGATTGAATTGATGCGGGAATTTAAGCCTAGCTCCTGTTGAGAACACATGGCCACAATCCCAAACCAACCACAACTCAAGGATCCTTTAACGGTCCTGCCCATTGTCCGGACAAGCTTGGCATACCTTAGAAACCTTCGCCACAGCCCAACCCTGGCACATGTGGGGGGGGGGGGGGCAAACCTTGCGAATCCGAGTTCAATTGACTTATCCAGGGTCGGCATGGCCATGAATCTTGCTGAATACCCTCCCAAATGCTTGGTGAACCAAAATCCACAAACATATCCAGAGGATCCTCAACCAAATACTGTTTCACTGGACCCTCCCAAATGGTTGGTTTGGGGTGAACCTCACCCCCCCCAAAACCGGCTCCACCAAAAAGCCGGGCCTCGCCTTGGCCAGCAGCCTCTGGGCCTCAGCCACCGGGATGCCCGCAGCCTCGTCCACAAAGAGATATTGGCAGCTCTTCAGCAGCCGCGACGCCGGGCGCGTCGCCAGGTCCGCCAGGGGGACGAACTCCAAAGTGCCCTGCGCCACCTGCGGTCGCATGGGGCCTGGGGGAAGGGGCTTTGGGAGGGAGCTTGGTGCTGTGCTTGTAGCATTGTAGCTGAAAATTGATGAAGTGCAGCTGCCTGGTTTCGGCCAAAACCCAAAATCTGGCTCTCCAGCAGCTGCCAGATTTGCGCCTTGGAGAAAACACCAAGCATGGCAGAAGGTACCCCGCTTGAAACCCTGGTCATGGCCTGTCCAAAGTAAGCAAAACTAGCTTAGAATAAGGGTACGCTTCTTTCTGTAGTCTATTTTAGTAGGGGAACCCTCCCCAAAAAAAAGAAACCTTAAAAGGGCACCTAGCTGCGGGACCTAGAAAAGAGTCCTCACGCCCGCCTGGAGGTGGCCCGCGTGCTTGCGCCAGACCTTCACCTCCTCCGCCTTTGCCAAGGCCTCCGCGCGATCGAAGAGCTGCGCGGTGGACTCCAGAGACGGGGAGGTGACCAACCTGAGAGTCCCAAACCCAATATGGATGTGGGTCAAAAATAGGGTAGCCCGAAAATGGAACCCGGGAATGGAACCAAGGACTAAAAGCTGTGGTCCCCTGCTGGTTTAATTTTGACCCATACCCATATGATTTTTGTTCTTGCTGGTGCGATTGGTAGGGAACGTCGGAATCAACCAAGGGATTCCCTTAAAGGAATCCCCAAATGATGGCTATAGCGGGTCATTCTCTCGTTCTCTCTGCTAAGCACCAGCAAGTCTTTGTGTGAGGGAAGAATGGTTTTCCTTATCATTTCCCTTTAAAGCCACACCTATTGAGCCGGGCAAAATTGGGGCTCGTCCCCAGCTTGTTTTGGGAAGCTTACTGTACTTGTCCCCCCAATGTCCCGAACCCCACATGGACGATGGACTACTTTTTGGCTTCGCTTTGCCAACTGCGCTGCACAGCTCCCAAATGATGAGTCGCCTGACACTGGCAAATGTTCTCTCTGACTACGCCAGTAGGCCCAAGGCCACAAACAGAAAATGCGCGTTTCCAAAGCCTGTGCAGCTTGCCCGGCCACTCGATGGGCGCCCTACATTGCCGCAACTGCACGCACATCACAAGAAGACCCAGAAGATGCACGCTTGCCCAATGCCGGCACTCCTGACTCACAGTGCACGCCTCCATCTCGAACGCAGGCATGTGAACATTGGCAACACAATAAGTACGCTTCCACTGCTTCACCACTCATGGCACAATCCCAAGAGAACACACTATCACACACTGAGCCAGGGCTCCACTGCTTGAAAAGCCTCCCAAACAAACCTCCGTGTTGCTGGCCTGCTTCGTACCTTGTAAGCAACACAAACACCTGCCAGCTGGGTCGACCTTACGAGCGTGAAATTGCAAAGGTCGCAAAACACCATGGTCAATGATCCCAGCATCCGCTGACTGCCCTTGGTTGACACGACACTACCACAGGAAAGGCCGTGGCCCGTGCTGACCATAGACTACTGGAAATCCGACCGAACCTCAAAATGGGATTGTGTATGTAGAGTTGGTACCCTCTTCCGGCTATTCAACAGCAAGCTATTTGGAACATCACAAGTTTTGGCACCTACCCCTGCATATATATATATACATTATAATATGTAGAACATATACTTTGGGTTTCGTCAAATTCCCGCTGAAACTCATAAAAGCTGATGGTTAGCCGGACCATCTCCAAGAAAAAAGAAGGGAGTGCACTTGTTTGAGCACTGTTTGGGTGTGTGGGGCAAATGAAACTTCAGAAACCCAAAAAACAACAAATGCTCCTTGTCCTTTGAGGCAGAAAATCGCGAGAAGCCGCGAGAAAACCAAACCAAGACAAGATTCCTGCTCACAAATATATCTAAAAAAGTCCTTACAACTTGTATTTACATGAACCTACCCTTGATTGTGTGATCTCATTTATGAGGGAACAGATCGAGCTCGATCACAACCCCACTTCTTCCCAGTTTGTTTTTGTTGACAGTTTCTAGAGGACTCTCAACGTCAAGCGGCTGTTCACCTTACTTCTGTCTTCAAAGCGCCATCCCGCCCGATTAATCATGCTGTCAATCATCCAGCCAAATATGCAAATCCACGGTATTAATCTTGCTGGTGCTGAGTAGGGAATGAGGGAATGAACCTGCAAATTTC